CACGGCCCGTGCGCCACGGCCCTGGCACGCACTACACCGGCAGTCGGAGGGGGGGCTCTTTCCTTGGAAGAGGACGGGAGAGCTGGGTCCACACGGGCTGCGTCTCCCACCCCTTGGTCTGCCCGGCTGTTTTGGTGCCGATGGCCCGCTGGGCCGGTAGCCACTCCAGCCAGGGGTGGGGAACAGCTGGACCTGTCCACACAGAGAGCCCCGTTGTCACTTCCCTCCCTAGACTTGTCGCTTGTCGCCCTCTTGTACAGATGAAAAAAATCCAGGTTCCGGGAGGAGCTGGGCCCGCCGGGCGCCCAGGCTCGGCTCGGCCCCTCCCCTGCCCCAGAACCTGCCAGCTCTCCCGTGTCTGCCCCCACCCCCCCCCCCAGCCCCACGGCCAAAGCTCAGCACCCGAGACTGAGTAAACAGTGCTGGCGATACAGGAATCAAAGCAAACAGGACTTCTCTTTTCTCCCCCCTTTGCCAACTGCCCCATTAACAGAAAAACCTTTTAAGCTCCCATCTGGAGCCCTGGCTGTTTCCTCTCCCTAAGCAAACTGAGATGACCAAGAGGAATTTGCCCTGGGGAGGGAGCTCGGCACACAGGGAGCCTAGCCTGCCCCTGCGGCAAAGGCGAATTCAGAAAGAGCAGAAAGGCCCCCGGCCCAGCCCAGGGGACCCCTGGCGGGAGGCTGTGGCCCGCCTGGCTGCGCCACCTTCCCGGAATAGCTCCCTGCGGTTGGAATCCACAGCCGCCCCCAGTGACCAGGTTTCACAGTTCGCACTTTCAGCCTAGACCACCTCCTAGGGAACGGAGGAGGAGTCCTTGGGCGCCACGTCCCTGCCCTAGCACGAGACGGCCACGCGCGCGAACCCACGCCTCACTGGCTGGAAGGAGACTTGCTGTTCTGAGCATCGCTGCCCAAGTGCGCCCAGCTGTTGGCGTGCACTTAACAAACATTTACCGAGGCCCTGCGTGGTTTCAGGCACGCTGGGGACTCAAAGGTGACGTGACACCGGCAGCTCCTGGCTGGCGGGGAGATAAGGCATGCGTCTAAGTAGTGGGCAAACAGGGCCCAGCGTGCCCGCAGTGGCAGTGGCCGTGGCCGTGGCCGCGGTGTCTCCGGCAAGGGAGCTAGCTCCCTTTGCACTTCGCAAGTGTCTGAGAATGGAGGGCTCAGGAGCACAGGCCTTGGCCCCGGAGGGAGGCTGGACAGGGCCACCACGTGTCTGGCTGCCGACGGTGCTTTCTGTACGTGCCAGGGCGCTGCAGCGAGCCGCCGGCATCTCCCAGTACCAGTACCAGGAGCTTTTGGTGCAGAACAAGTCTTCTTAAGTGCACACACGGCTTTTCCCTCCCTTCCTTTCTTTGAAAGACGGTGTGACCGAGGGAAAGGAGACAGGCAGAGAGGTCCTCCATCCGCTGGTCCACCCCTCAAATGGCTGCAACGGCTGGGCTGGGCCAGGCCGAAGCCAGGCGCCAGGAGCTTCCTCCTCCAGGTCTCCCACGCAGATCAGGGGCCAAAGCTCTTGGGCCGCCCCCACCCCCACCCCGCTTTCCCAGGCCCATCTGCAGGGAGGTGGATCGGGCGGGCAGCCGGGGTTCTGTTATGCGAGGCCGGGGTCCCTGGGGCAGCAGCTCACATGGTGAAACAGCGGAGAAAATGAGAAAATCTTACTACCTCAGGTCTTTGCTTCCACGTGGACAGGACAGAGATGTAGAAGCAAGATTTGTTAGAGCCAGGGACCTCCGGCCAGAGCGGCACGGAGGGGGCTGCAAGAGGAAAAACCCGAAGGAGCCGGTGGTGCTGGGGTTTTTAAGCACAATTTTGGGGAAGAAAAAAACACTTGACATTCAGTTCCAAGGTGGGGACAAAACCCATCAAAATCTTCTGTCTGGCCACCAAGAGCCACCAGAAGGGTGCGGGCCTGATTTGGTTTACAGTAAACAGGGGGCTCAGGAGGAATTACCCTCCCTTGCGGTTCTCCTAAGATTGGAAGCTTTTCTTTTCTTTTTTTAAGATGGTTCACTCCCCAATTGGCTGCAACGGCCGGAGCTGTGCTGATCTGAAGCCAGGAGCCTCCTCCGGGTCTCCCACGCGAGTGCAGGGGCTTGGGCCATCTTCCACTGCTTTCCCAGGCCGTAGCAGAGAGCTGGATGGGAAGTGGAGCAGCTGGGTCTTGAACTGGCGCCCATATGGGATGCTGGCACTTCAGGCCAGGGCGTTAACCCGCTGCACCACAGAGCCAGCCCCAATTGGAAGCTTTCAAGGCGTGGGTAGGCAGGCACTTCGACCTTGCTAAAGATTTTTTTTTTTTAAGATTTATTTATTTGAAACTCAGAGTTACAGAGAGGCAGAGGCAGAGGCAGAGGCAGAGGGAGAGGCAGGGGGGGGGGGGGAGAGAGAGAGAGAGAGAGAGAGAGAGAGAGGTCGGTTTTCCCTCCACTGGTTCACTCCCCAATCGGCTGCAATGGCCGGAGCTGAGCCAGTCTGAAGCCGGGAGCCAGGAGCTTCTTCCGGGTCTCCCACACAGGTTCAGGGTCCCAGGGACTTGGGCCATCTTCCATTGCTTTCCCAGGCCACAGCAGAGAGCTGGAATGAAGTGGAGCAGATGGGACTCGAACCAGTGCCCATATGGGATGTCAGCAGTGCAGGCCGGGGCTTTAACCGGCTGCGTCACAGCACCGGCCCCAGATTTTAACCTTTTATGCACCAAAATAAACGTATCTTTAAATTCCATTTTCCTCGAACGTTTTGAAGCCCCCCTGTCCTATACATATCCCCTGAAAACAAGGTCTTTGGCTTACGTAACCACATACCACACTCCAGGTCAGGACACAGGACCAGGTCCCGATATTCAGTCTGAATTTAGATTTTGATGACTGTCCTAGCAAGTCCTTTGGGGCAGCCCTTTTCCTGGTCCCAGATCTGGCCTGGGGGCACGGGGCACGCTGCGGGCGCTCGACAATGGCGGCAAGGAGCCCCCAGCCCCCAGCCCTGTCCTCCGTCCCCATCTCTGGATTCCCTTCTGCTTAACCCCCTCCGGACGCAGCCCCAGGCCCCCCCCCGCCATGCCGTCAGTAGCCCTCCTGCCCTGTTCCTCACCTCACACCTTGGGCCCCACCAGGCCCGATGGGGAGTACACCGAGGTGGGGCGTCAGGATCGGGGCACGGCGGAGGCAGAGACCCCTCATGGACCACGGGGAGCCAGGGTGTCAGGGTTTGACTCCTCCACGGCAGCCAGGGTCGCTGGTGTGGTCAGAGGCGGGAGAGCGGGGGCTCTGAGCCAGGTCGGCCCTGCCTCTGGGTCCACACCCTGTGGGGTGGTAGTCAGAGCCAGAGGGGCTTTTCCCAAATAAGCCAGTTCAAGGGAGGGTGCTATGCCTGCATCCACCTGTCATTCCTGCCGCCCAGCCCAAGGCACACCTGGCCGGTGGTCCCTGTCTGCGACTGCTCCATGGAGGGACCTGCCGTGGAGACTCTGAGGAGCGGCTACAGAAGCGGGTGCTCCCGGGCTGCCCTTGTCCCCAGGGCCGTCAGGAGTGAGACCTCTTCCTGTCCCCGCCCCCGCCCCCCGAGCTCCAGGGGCACAAAGCAGCCCTTCACCGGCTCTGCTGTCTCACAAGCCCACACTCCTGCTGCTTCTCCATCCTCTCCCGCCTTCTGTGGAAGCCGGTCTTCCAATTCCTGGGGGAGGGGTACTGGCCCTAGAGCCACCACCTGCTGGTCGCTGCCCGCCCCCCTCCCCCCGGCAGGGACGCTGAGCGGGCGTCGGGCAGGCAGCCCCCCACTCAGAGGTGATGCAGTCTGGGGCTGGTTTTGGACCTTTGCTGGGAGCTCAGGGGGCTGAGGACCAGCAGGCAAGAGAGCCGGCTTCCGAGTGCTGGGCTGTGCCGTCGGGGTTCCCCTTGGCGCTTGGAGACTTGGACGGGGAAATTCTGACAAACAGCAAATCACAGGCACCGTGAGAAGAGCAATGGGGCAACAGGGCAGAGGGCCGGAGGGCGCTGGGGGCACCGGAGCCCTGCAGGTGCGGGGCGGGGAGGCGGACGGTGGCAGGGCAGCCTGCAGAAGAGCAGGGGTGGCGCGTGAGGGTGGGGACCCAGCGTCCCGGTGCGTCATTCCCCAGCTCCCTCGTGGCACACGGCTCAGAGCAACAGCGTGGAAGAGGCACTGGGAGTGTAGTTGGGGTCAGGTTGGGAGAATCCTGGCTGGAAGTCGAGCTGGGGAGTGTGGATTTTCTCTCTCTCTCCCTCTCTCTCTATTAATTTATGTGAAAGGCAGAGTTACAGAGAGACAGAGAGAGAGAGAGATCTCCCAACCGCTGGCTCACTCCCCAAATGGCCACAATGGCTGGGGCTGGGTTAGATCAAAGCCAGGAGCCTGGAGCTCCACCTGCCTCTCCCACGTGGGCGCAGGGCCCCAGCACCTGGGCCATCGTCCGCTGCCTTCTCAGGTTGCATTAGTAGGGAGCCGGAGCGGGAGCAGGAGCGGGAGCGGGAGCGGAGCAGCCAGGACTTGAACTGGTGCTCGCGAATGGGACGCTGGAGCCGCAGGCGGCGGCCTAACCTGCTGCACCCCCACAGCCACAAGCGTTTGTCTCTTGTGGTTTCTCCGGCTCCTAAGGATCTGTCACCTTCACACGTGGGCCAAGTTCATAAAGCGACCTTTTCTTAATATTTTATTATCATAAATATCAGTTGTTTTCCTGTTAATGCTTGCAGGTTAAAAATAAACACTGGCCAGCCGTGTTCCCCCAGTCACCCCAGGCCGCGGGTGACTTTAGGTCCACACCTAAGGGCTGAGGACAGGCCCAGTGATGGGATGGCAGAGCCCGTGGGGTGGGGGTGGTCTCCCTGGGAGCCGAGAGCCCTGGGGCAGCGCCCAGGGGCCGGCAGGGCAAGGCCTGCGAATGGCGCCAGCCCTGCGCTCACACCCCAGGAAATGAGTGGGCAACATTGTGGGCTGGGAGAGGAAAGCACACCCCCTTCCACATCGGTGATAAGGGGAGAACAGAGCAGCGCTGGGGCCGGGCTCTGGGCTGGACACACCCTCAAGGCCTCTCTGGGAAGGTGGCCTGGTCAGCTGGTCCACGCCTGTGACGACCAGGGTCGTGCGGGGCTCACAGCGGTGACCGGCGGCTCTCCCAGCCTCAGGAGTCCTTGCAGATCCTCCGCTTGGCGCAAGGCAAGGATGCGTGAAATCGTCCACATCCAGATTGGCCAGTGTGGCAACCAGATCGGAGCCAAGGTGAGTGAAGCCGGCCGGGGCTAAGTGCCTCGTTCTTAAACAATGTCTTTGGAGAGACTGTAGTTACCTGTGGGTGATGCACACGCCCCCCGTTTACTGTCGCCAAATCTGTGATGAGCCTCCCGGACCTAACAACAGAGCAGCTTCCCGAAGCTTCGCTGGCAGAGGTCTCCCAGGGGAGGGAGGCGCCGTCTCGCCCTCTCCTCCCTTCTTTATGGTGTAAAGTACAACAATGAGAATAATGACAACTCCTGTTTTATTTCACCTGTGATGGAGACTGAAGAGGGAAACCTAACAAAGTTTTTGTGTGCAATGACAGAAACAATTCGAAAATGTCCTCTGGAATATAAGTGGTATTTCTCTCCTCCGGTTTACATTTTCCGTAGAGAACCTTGGACTCGCTTGCTAACACCTTAAGAAAACAGGTGCCTGCGCACAAGTCTCCCACCTTAGTTCTGGGGTCAGCAGCGGTGCTGGAAGGCACCTGTCTAACTGTGTTCTTGTTGTCGACAAGTTTTACTGGCATGGGTTGCATTAAAAGCCAGGGTGTGAAATGCCTGCCTTGAGACCTTAGTTTGGGGTAAGCTGGCGGCGCCGTGGGTTAAGTCGCTGCTCGGGACACCGGCAGTGCTGGTTGGAGTACCTGTTGCTGTTTCCAATCCAGCTCCCTGCTCACAGGCCTGGGACGCAGCAGACGATGGCTGAAGTGCTTTGTGCCTGCCACCCACGTGGGAGACCTGGCCGGGGTTCCTGGCCCCTGGGTTTTGGTCTGGGCCGGCCTTGGCTGTTGCGGGCACTGGGGGAATGAACCAGGGGATGGAAGGTCTCTCTCTGTGCCTCTTCCACCCTCTCTGTCATGCTGCCTTTCACAGAGATAAATATGTTTTAAGAGAGGAACCTTGGGATATCCAAGAGAGGAAACAGTCCAGGTGTCCGGCAACAGACAAAGGGAACAAAACACGCGCTGCCCACACACCTGGACACTGTGCAGCCTGAAAGAGGGATTTGAAACGTTTCTCCGTGAAGTGTACACAGAATGTACCTTCTGAACCATTCTTAGGTGCACACGCAGCAGCACTAGGCAAGTACTGCGCATCCCACCCCAAAGCGTTTCCATCTTTCTAAAGCGAAGCTCTGCACCTGAGTGCCAAGGCCTCATCCCCACCCCACCCGGCCCCCAGCCCCGGGCCCTTCCCCCTCTCTAGGAAGCTGGTCGCTGTCAGCGCAGCCGCGCAGGCTTCCCTCTGCGGCTCACCCCAGCGGAGGACACCCCACTGCGCTGGGGGCCGCCTTTGGCTTATCCACCCGTGCCCCGGGGACACTCGGGTTGCTTCCTCCGCCCGGCTATCGCGGGGACACTGCCGTGACAGGAACGGAGACGTGCTCAGGCCGGGACGGAGAACCCTGGGTCACCCTTCCGGCCCGCAGTGACAATAAGGCCCACAATTAGCCCCCGGAGCAGGGGAGGCCCCAGCCCCCCGGCCCCACCCCCACTCTGCAGTCAGAAGATAGCGTGGAGAGCGAGTGCACGGGCCAGATAGGGTGTCGCCAGCTGTGGCAGGGTCGGGGCCACACTTCAGACAGACGTGACGTGCAGCGTCTGACAGCCTGGGTTTCTCTTCCCCTCCCTGGACAGCGCTGGTGGGGGGCTACGAAACAGAGGCCAAGGCCGGAGCGGGGCTGTCGCACAGGAGGCTGGGAAAGCACACGCGCAAGCGTGTTAACCGCGCTTCCATCTGCGCTCCCCCGGGGTGAGCAGAGGGGCTGCCGGCACTGCCTCCACACGGTGTCTCTTCACAACCACACGTGATCGCCACGCAGGAACACAGCGTGCAGTTCTGAATCCTGCGTCCACCTGATCATCAAAAATACACACTGCCGGGGCTGGCGTGGTGGGGGAGCAGGTTGAGCCGCGGCCTGCGATATCGGAGTGCCATTTCCAGTCCTGGCTGCTCCGCTTTGATCCAGCTTCCTGCCTTTGGGAAGATGATGGGAGGTGGCTCAAGTACTTGGGCCCTGCCACCCACCAGGGAGGCCCAGCTGGGAGTGCCCGGCTCCTGGCTTCAGCCTGGCTGAGCCTGGGGCACTGCAACTATCAGGGGGAGTGAACCAGCAGATGGAAAAAATCTGTCATTCTGCTGTTGAAATACCCACATAAATAAATCTTAAAAAAAAAAAAAAACAAACAAGAAAAACACAAACAAAAAAACCCAGAAAACCCCCATATCACTTAAAATTGTGCACAGAAGTACTAATTATACATTTTTGGGAAGAAGTTCATGAAAAGAAATCCCCAAAGTGAAATGGGATATTACTGTGGAATTGGGTAAGAATTCAGTTTGTGTTCTTTTAATAGGATCCACACCCTGCTAGCCTGGAGCACTACAAGGAGAGATGAGCTACACCACAGCGTTAATACAGGCAATGGGTTGGTTTTCACAGGAACAAAATCTAATTTGAAATCTTACAAGTTCGACATTTTATTTATTTTTGTTTATAAAGATTTATTTATTTATTTGAAAGTCAGAGTTACACAGAGAGAGGAGGAGAGGCAGAGAGAGACAGAGAAGAAAGAGAGAGAGGTCTTCCATCCGCTGGTTCACTCCCCAACTGGCTGCAGCAATTGGAGTGGAGCTGAGCTGATCTGAAGCCAGGAGCCAGGAGCTTCATCCTGGTCTCCCACGTGGGTGCAGGGGCCCGAGGACTTGGGCCATCTTCCACGGCTTTCCCAGGCCACAGCAGAGAGCTGGATCGGAAGCGGAGCAGCCGGGTCTCGAACAGGCGCCCATATGGGATGCCAGCTCTGCAGGCGGCGGCTTTACCTGCTATGCCACAGCGCCGGCCCCCTTGACATTTTATTTAAGGTGTTTGGGGGGTTTGGAATGCTGCCACCTGGTCAACACTGAATCACGCTGTGGAGTAGTCGTTTACGCAGGGCCGGGCCCCGGCGCCCCCACTCTCGGCCTCCCCAGCACCGACCTCCTGCCTCTGCTTTCAGTTCTGGGAGGTGATCGGCGAGGAGCACGGCATCGACGCAGCGGGGAGCGACTGCGGGGCCTCTGCCTTGCAGCTGGAGAGACTCAGCGTGTACTACAATGAAGCCTACGGTAGGGCAGCGCCAGCAGCCTGGGGCTTGGGCAGGCAGAGGGCACAGGCTCACAGGACAGCAAGACGCCAAAGCCACGGTGGCGTGCACAGCGGAGCAGCAGAGCCCGAGAGGCAGGGCCGGGGCAGAGGCGCTGAGCGGGCCAGCAGGGCAAGCACAGCAGAGCCATTTCCCACAGGCAGGCGCAGGGTCTGTCGGGGGCGACTCAGCAAGCAAAGCAGCCGGGGACGGGGGATGGGGGCTCTGTTCTCCTTTTTATCTGACCAGCGTCACAAGGATCTATTCTGATGAAACATTAACTTCTGGAAAAACAAGAGTTTGCTGACTTCTTCCTATTTTTCTACACAGGTAGGAAATACGTGCCCCGAGCAGTCCTGGTGGACCTGGAGCCGGGGACGATGGACAGCATCCGGTCAAGCAGGCTGGGGGCCCTCTTTCAGCCGGACAGTTTTGTGCACGGTAGGTTTTTCCGGAAGGTTCCGGCAGGCAGAGCTGAGGATGCCTCCTGCTGGTGCCCTTCTCGCCTCACCTCTCACCTCCTCCTTGCCACAGGGAACTCTGGGGCTGGCAACAACTGGGCCAAGGGCCACTACACCGAGGGAGCTGAGCTGATGGAGACCGTCATGGACGTGGTGAGGAGCGAGAGCGAGAACTGCGACTGTCTGCAGGGCTTCCAGATCGTCCACTCCCTGGGCGGGGGCACGGGCTCGGGCATGGGCACCCTGCTCATGAACAAGATCCGCGAGGAGTACCCCGACCGCATCCTCAACTCCTTCAGCGTCATGCCCTCGCCCAAGGTCTCGGACACGGTGGTGGAGCCCTACAACGCCGTGCTGTCCATCCACCAGCTCATCGAGAACACGGACGCCTGCTTCTGCATCGACAACGAGGCCCTCTACGACATCTGCTTCCGCACGCTCAAGCTGACCACGCCCACCTACAGCGACCTCAACCACCTGGTGTCCCTGACCATGAGTGGCATCACCACCTCCCTGCGCTTCCCCGGCCAGCTCAACGCCGACCTGCGCAAGCTGGCCGTGAACATGGTGCCCTTCCCGCGCCTGCACTTCTTCATGCCGGGCTTTGCTCCGCTCACAGCCCAGGGCAGCCAGCAGTACCGGGCCCTGTCCGTGGCCGAGCTCACCCAGCAGATGTTTGACGCCCGCAACACCATGGCTGCCTGCGACCCCCGCCGGGGCCGCTACCTGACGGTGGCCTGCATCTTCCGTGGCAAGATGTCCACCAAGGAGGTGGACCAGCAGCTGCTGTCCGTGCAGACCAGGCACAGCAGCTGCTTCGTGGAGTGGATCCCCAACAACGTCAAGGTGGCCGTCTGCGACATCCCGCCCCGCGGGCTGAACATGGCCGCCACCTTCATAGGCAACAACACGGCCATCCAGGAGCTCTTCGGCAGGGTGTCCGAGCACTTCTCGGCCATGTTCAAGAGGAAAGCCTTCGTGCACTGGTACACGAGTGAAGGGATGGATGTGAGCGAGTTTGGGGAAGCCGAAAGCAACATCCACGACCTGGTGTCTGAGTACCAGCAATTCCAGGACGCCACGGCGGCCCTGGAGGACGAGGCCGAGCAGGAGGCCGAGGTGGAACGAGATGCGGAGGACCCTCAGCCGTGAGGGAGCACCTCGGGGGTCCTGTCGGGCCCGCCCTGCACTGCAGCACGCCGACGCACCTGCTCTGGCACGGGCACTGCCGCGGGAGGGGGCGGGGGAAGGGCTGATGGGCACTCGGTCTCCTGCTGACATCTGCTAACCAGAGTTTGATATTCAGTGCACACTTGATTAACTTCTCATTGTCAAGTGAATTTCTGAGGGTACTGCAAAAAGTTCACGGAGAAATGGAATTCAAAGATAAGTTTGATGCAAAAAAAAAAAAAAAAAAAAACAAACCCACACTGAAATCCAGGCGTAGCTTCTTTAATGACACTCATCTCCCAGGAGCTCTCTCAGGCCCTTGCCTGGCTCCTGTGCCAGGCGCCCAGGCCGCGGTGTGGGTCTGCAGGGAGCCGGGGCGGTCCGTGGATGTCCTCCCTCGGTGCCCCGGGGCTGCCGACACCCTACCCCCTCCCTCTCCTTGGCAAACACTCCCGGGCCCCTCGCCTTGTCTTTGTTGGTCCCCACCAAGGCCAGCGACGACCAGGACCAGCACGTGGGGAGCCACAGGGTCAAATCCTGTCCCTGTGAACAGCTATGGCCCCCTCCCCACCCCAACCGAAGTCCCTGACCAAAAAAAATACAGAACAAGACAGGCCAGCCAGGAGCACTCCAGCCCGGTCTGTGCTTCTGCATGGCCCCCTTCAAGCCTGCGCTCTACGGGTTTCTGGCGAGCATGCGACTCCCAGGACCATTCACGGCCACCGTCGGTTTGGCTTTTCACTTCCATTCAGCGATCACCTCCCCCCCCGGCCCCGGCGGCCACTGCCACGCGGGAACAGGGCAGTGGCTGCGCTGTCCTCCTCAGTCCAGGGCACGTGTCGGGAGTTTGTGGAGTCCAGGTCAATTTGTAGAAGTTGCCATGAATGTTAGCGTGACGACGCAGCTTTAACCATCCGTGACCTTAATCGGCTCACGCAAGACAGAACCAAACACCCAAGGGCAGTCAAATCCCCCGCCACCCCTCAGTTTGCCTGTTCCGCCCTGCGGCACTGCCACCCTGGCCGGTGCCGTGGGGGTCTTGGTGGCCTCCTGGCATTGCGGCCGAGTCCTCTGGGATTCACCGGCCACCAGCGCTGGGAGGACGCTCCCTCGCCGCGGGAAGCTGGCTCTCTTCTGCACGTGCGCCATGGCCATCAGCTGTCACGCATCCAGAGACTGCTCTGCACAGGCGCACAAGTGACTAAAACACACAGCAAGGATGAGCCTCGCCGTCGGCATCACCAACGAGCCTGCGACGTACAAATTAGACACAACGCGCTGCTTCTGGCCCTTCCTAGAGAGAGATTGTGGAAACTCGGCTGTCACACTCGGGCTCGGAGCTGGGGCTCCCGAGATGCTAAGAGGCCTTACAGGCCTGAGGCTGCAGAGCTCACAGCCCCGCTCAGACCAACGAGGGGACTGGACGCCAGGAAAGGCGACGCGAGCCTTTACCAAAGAGCTGCTGCCGGTTCCCAGGGCTGCAAAGATGTGTGCTCGCAATGGTCATCGTTAAAGTGCAGAAAACCCACTTTAAATGGCTAAATCGCTTTATTTCAGGCTAAATAAAGTCCTCTTCTTGGCGCCTCGCCACCCAGACTGATGAATTTTAGTTACTGCATCTCACCATCCTACTCTTTCGTACGGTAGATTTACAACACCAGCGGACGGGACGGGAAGCCAACGGAAGCCTGTCCCTGCTGATACTGGCGAGGTTACTGCTAGTGGCAGGGCTGCCACGGCGACATCGGTCTCAGACCGAGAGAGCTGGCCTGACCCCTTCACTCCGCACACAGGACCCCACGTGAACGGAGCCATTACCCAACACCAGAAACACGTCACCCCGCTAGTCAGGGACGGGGCGATCACCCAACACTGAGCACTCCCCAGCCGGTGAGACCCCCACAGCGGGCAGCTGCCCAGCAGTGCCGGTGCAGGGCGTCCCCCATGCGGGCTGTTTTCCGGTCACGAGATGAGACTTTGCTGGATGACAAATCTGCTGTCACAGCCTCCGCGTCACAGGCCCTGCCCCTCTATCTCCGCCTCATTGCCAGCCGCTCCCGAGCCCACAGCCTGGCGAGCTGCTGGGTTCTAAGTGAGGCAGCCTTCGCCTGTCAGTCACTTTGTACGTGTGGCACTGACGAGGCCCCGCAGCCCTGGGTCGCGCGTGTCCCGGGACCATCACCCGGGGGCCCGGCACTGAGCTGAGCTGCCCTGGCTTCCAAACAGCAGGACAAAGGCCCAGGCGGACCCCAGGGGCCCTCACCCCGCCCCGTCCGAGGCACTCCATCTGCTGCTTCCCTGTGTCCTGTATTGAGAACTGAGCAAAACCCACAGGTCAAGTGTGGAGGGCAGGAAGTCGTCCCTAGAAGCCAAGAACAAAGACACATTCTTGGGCTCGCGCTCGGCATTGCCCAGCGGCCCTGAGGAGCTGTAGGGCGCTCGTGCGCCACGGTGAGAGACAGTCTAGCATCCGTGTTTAAGCCTGCTGTCCTAAACGTCTTCATTTTTCCAAGCACTTAACTGCACAACGGTGTTTCACTCGGCCAACCACTTCCAAGTTTTAAAGACAGCGAAAGCAAAACACTTGCAGGAATTCTTCACCCCTAAGAATTTAATGAAGGAGGCCGGCGCCGCGGCTCACTAGGCTAATCCTCCGCCTTGCAGCGCCGGCACACCGGGTTCTAGTCCCGATTGGGGCGCCGGATCCTGTCCCGGTTGCCCCTCTTCCAGGCCAGGGAGTGCAGTGGAGGATGGCCCAAGTGCTTGGGCCCTGCACCCCATGGGAGACCAGGAGAAGCACCTGGCTCCTGGCTTCGGATCAGCGCGGTGCGCCGGCCGCGGCGGCCATTGGAGGGTGAACCAACAGCAAAAAAAGGAAGACCTTTCTCTCTCTCTCTCTCACTGTCCACTCTGCCTGTCAAAAAAAAAAAAAAAAAAAAAAAGAATAATAAAAAAAACCACAAAACGCTTGCAACGAGCGTGGCCCAGACCCGCAGTCAGGAATCCGCGATTTCATTCCAGCTCGGCCATCGGCTGCACGGCCAGCCACGGAACGGCTCTGCCTCACCGCCTAGGAGGGACGCTCCGGAATCTGCACTCATCCGCGGACAGCGACGCGGGACACAGCGGTGCTCAGATCGGGCCCAGGGTCCACAGCCCGCCGCAGGTTCCAAGGGGACGACAGACAGAGGTGCTGTACCTGTGCCTGGAGGACTTCCCCACGGGTCACCAGCTAGGCAGTGCCACGCGGGATGCCACTGCCTGGACACGGACGGTGGGGCTGCCGGGGCGACCATGCACCGTGCCACCAACGGAGGGTTCAGCACCGAGGGCAGCGGCGCCTGGAGGACCAGGCAGCGTCCCGGACACGACGCCCCCGCCCGGGCTCCGACCAAGGTCTCCTGCGTCCCTTTGGTCCCTCCACGTAATCCCCCCTCCCCTCCCATAAGAAACCCCGGTTCCCGCGGTCAGCAGGAGCCGCGCAGCTGTTCCCAGAGACAGGAAAAAGCCCGACAGAAACCAGAACCCAGCAGTGAGTGACCGCGTTTCAGTTTATTGGTGTTGTCAATTTATGAACAAGACAGGACTTCTCCCCCATGGAGTGAGCTCTTCTCCCTCTGCCGTGACACGCGCCACGCGTCTTCCCTGGACTTGGGATCGCAGCAGCTCCAGCTCCCGTCAGGGTCTGGGGGAAGAGAAAAGCGCATGGTTCTCGGTGTTTTCGTAAAAATGCACCACGGACACGAGACTCCTCCCTCCAGAGAACGGCACAAGGTTCACGCAGAACGCGCGTGGCTCAAACGCCCAACCTTAGCCCAGTGTTTAGCGTTTCCCTGCTCAATATAATGAAATGCGCCCTTAGCCAGACAACCCTTGTCTTAAAGACGCAACGTCGCCCTGTGCTGATGGGCCGATGTGCCAGGGCTGTGTTCTCGGAGCGACCCCAAGGCCGCCGCAGGGTCTGGGGTGCTGTCGGCGCTGCGGCAGGGAGGGGCCGGGTGGTTTTCCTCAGCTCACTGTGAAACAGAACAACGCAACGTAAAACGAGGCCTCGTTACTCAGGAGGCGAGCCCTAGACGGGCTACACACCCCGCCTCCAGACCCGTGAGGGAAGATTTACTCGGGGAGACAGCTCTGCCGAGGACGGCACCGCTGGGCGTCGAAGCTGCTCGGCAGCAGATCAGGAAAATCAACCTGAAAATCACCCCGATCACCTGCCTTGTCGTCTTTCAAACAGCACCGCCGAGACAACAGCTGGGACCGCTCGAGCGGCCTGCGGCAGCAAGCCCGGCTCGCCCCCTTCCCCGGGCCACGCAGCCCCTCGGTCGGCGTCTTCCGAGGGGAGGGACCAGGCCTCTGGAGCAAGGCGGCGTCCAGGGCGGCCCTGCCCGTGCGCACAGCCCAGCACAGCTGTCACTGCTGCCCTGAACCTCCCGGGCTCCAAAGGCACTCACAGGAGCGCGGACTTCATCCTCCAGATGGTCTGATTTTGTGCAGACAAATGAAACAGCTCTAATCACAGCGCGACGGCGCTGTCCCTAAGCCTCGCTCAGGGACCTGAGAGTCAACGTGCAGTTGCTTCCGCCTGCCAGGGCCTGAGGGCCCTTCTCCCGTCACCACGGACGTGCCGGTGTGCCGAGACCACCCCCAGGAACGAGCTTGCAAGCGCACAGAACCCAGAGCGCGCGCGGTCTCTGCGGCCTCTGCAAGCCACGGCCCCGCCCAGTGCGCCAGGGACTCACGGTCACTCCTTCTTCACTTTCACAATCTTGACGCTGCTGCCCGCGGTCTTCTCCGCGTTCGCTCTGAACTCGGTCTTGAGCGCATCCCTCACGGCCTTGGCGCAGATCTGGGAGTACCGGATGTAGCTGGGGAACCAGAGACGCCGAGTTAGTGGTCGGCGCCGGCCGGACCGCCGCGGGCCTGTCCCTCCTCCTCTGCTTTTCAGCCTGCTTGGACTAGACTAGACTTCAAAGCGGCCAACGCCAAAGGAGTCTGGACACAGAAGAGAACCGGGAAGAAATGAACCAAGGTCACCAACTGGCGTCTGGCTGGGCGATTTCGTGCTCCATCCTGTGTCTTTTTTAAGATTTATTTATTTATTTGAAAGTCAGAGTTACACAGAGAGAAGGGGTGGGGGGAGAGAGAGGGAGAGAGAGAGAGAGAGAGAGAGAGAGAGAGAGAGAGAGAAAGAGAGAGAAAGAGAGAGAAAGAGAGAGAGAGAGGTCTTCCATCTGCTGGTTCACTCCCCAATTGGTCGCAACGGCCAGAGCTGTGCTGATCTGAAGCCAGGAGCCAGGAGCTTCCTCCAGGTCTCCCAGTGGGTGCAGGGGCCCAAGGACTTGGGCCATCTTCCACTGCTTTCCCAGGCCACAGCAGAGAGCTGGATGGGAAGTGGAGCAGCTGGGACTCGAACCAGCGCCCGTATGGGATGCCAGCTCTGCAGGCAGTGGCTTTACCTGCTACGCCACAGCGCCGGCCCCCGTTCTATGTCTTTAGTGTGTACGAATTTAAAGTGAAAGATTTGAAAACACTTTTGAAAACCCACAGGGAAGACAGATGGGAACCTCGGCAGGTCTGCAGCACCCACGGCCTCGCTAACCTCAGGATTCTGTGAGCTACGGAGGCCAGAGAAAAACCCGGCTCGAATGGAGCCGAGACCTCATCCCAAGGCTTCCTGGACACACTGGACGCTGCCTCGCTGCGGACAGCCCCTCACCTGCGCCCCCACGCAGCCCGTGTCCCTGGACGCACTGGACGCCGCCTCGTTGCGGACAGCCCCTCACCTACGCCCCCACGCAGCCCGTGTCCCTGGACGCCCCCTCGCTGCAGACAGCCCCTCACCTGCGCCCCCACGCAGCCAGTGGTCCTGGACACACTGGACGCCGCCTCGCTGCGGACAGCCCCTCCCCTGCGCCCCCACGCAGCCCGTGTCCCTGGACACACTGGACGCCGCCTCGCTGCGGACAGCCCCTCACCTGCGCCCCCACGCAGCCCGTGTCCCTGGACACACTGGACGCCCCCTCGCTGCTGACAGCCCCTCACCTGCGCCCCCACGCAGCCCGTGGACAGCGGTGCCGCGTGGAGCCCCGCCCTGTGCACGCGTAGCCCCGCCCCCGTCTCCCAAACGCCCGCAACGCCGGTCAGGCCTCACCCCTACAGGACTTCCCAGCAGGGCCGCTCTCGGGGGCCCGGCCGAGGCGCCCTTGCCCAGGGTGACGCCATGTTGAGGCCGGCTGGCCAGGCGCGTGCCCAGCGCCGCGTGCCCCCACACCGCAACGAGGGGCCTCCCGAGCCCGCGCCCACCTGAGCCCAGCCTGGCGCCAGTATGCCACCATGATGTCGCGAGAGCGGGGCGCGTCGGGCCGAGTCGCGAGAGCCGGCAATGTCCGATGCACCTGGCGCCCGGCGGCAGGAAGGTCAGGCCCAGGAAGCGGAAGGGGCGGGACGCGCGGACCTGCCAATCACCACCTCTTGCCCGCCCCGCCGCCGGGAGCCAATGGGGGCGCGCGGCCCGGGCGGCGGGGCCAATCCTCGGCGGCTCGGCCGGCGGAGCCTGCCTATTGGCTCGGCGGCGCCCCGGCCTGGGCCTGCCGGGCTTCCGTAGAGGCCGGGGGCGGGGGGGCGGGCGTCGCGCCGCGTCCCCGGAGTCCCAGTAACAGCTCCTGGAGCCCGAGGCGGCGCCTCGCCCGGGCCTCTGCCCTCCACCCGTGTCAGTGAAACAGCGCCACCCACACCCACACCCGCTTTTATCGGGTCCTTGGCGCGGGGCTCCGGCTGCGGGCGCGGAAAAGCGGCTGAGCGCGCCGGCCGGGGCGCGTCCCCTCCCAGAACGCGCGGGAAGCCGCAGCACCGCTGCAGGCCCTGGCTCCGTCCAGCCGCGACGCGTGGGCTGCGGGCCGCGGGGTGAGCGCCCGGCCGGCCTGGGAGCCCGGCGTCCGCGGTCCACGCAGACACTGACCGCTCTGCAAGAAGCCTGGCGGGGGCGGCGGTCTCCTCACAGCCGCCTCGGACGCAGCCCCCCGAAGTCTGTCCCGGTCTCCGAGCCCCCCGAAGCCTGTCCCCGGTCTCCAGGCCCCCCGAAGTCTGTCCCCGGTCTCCAGGCCCCCCCAAAGTCTGTCCCGGTCTCCAGGCCCCCCCGAAGTCTCCCCGGTCTCCGAGCCCCCCGAAGTCTGTCCCGGTCTCCACAGCCCCCGAAGTCTGTCCCCGGTCTCCAAGCCCCCCCGAAGTCTGTCCCGGTCTCCAAGCCCCCCATAAGTCTGTCCCCGGTCTCCGAGCCCCCGAAGTCTCCCCGGTCTCCAAGCCCCCGAAGTCTGTCCCGGTCTCCAAGCCCCCCATAAGTCTGTCCCCGGTCTCCAAGCCCCCGAAGTCTGTCCCCGGTCTCCACAGCCCCCCGAAATCTGTCCCCGGTCTCCAAGCCCCCCCCGAAGTCTGTCCCCGGTCTCCAAGCCCCCGAAGTCTGTCCTGGTCTCCACAGCCCCCCGAAATCTGTCTCGGTCTCACAGCCCCCGAAGTCTGTCCCCGGTCCCCTTGCCCCCCCGAAGTCTGTCCCGGTCTCCAAGCCCCCCCATAAGTCTGTCTCCGGTCTCCAAGCCCCCGAAGTCTCCCCGGTCTCCACAGCCCCCCGAAGTCTCCCCGGTCTCTGAGCCCCCGAAGTCTCCCCGGTCTCCACAGCCCCCCGAAGTCTGTCCCCGGTCTCCGAGCCCCCGAAGTCTGTCCCCGGTCTCCGAGCCCCCGAAGTCTCCCGGGTCTCCGTCCGCAGCTGCCCTCCGGCATCCGCCCCCCACCCGCCCCGTGGCCCGCCCAGCCCAGCCCAGCCCGCGGCAGGACGCGCAGTCAGCCCGCTCCAGAAGGACCTTTACTAAGAAAACTTTGGCAAATCGCATTTTCCGTTGGAGTCATATTCGCAGTGCTAAATGTTCACTCCAAAAATATCATTTAAGTACCAAATCAGAACACTGGCTTCTGGCAGAGCAAGTTATTTTACACAAATGAGCGTCTTTACACTGCAGAGTCTCTCGGTGAATTCCCTCCCGCAGGCTGCTGGGTCCGCGGCGCGGCGCGGCGCTGTGCTCGGGCTTGGTCCACAGCGGGCAGAGCTCCAGTGTAGACGCCTCCGGAGAACCGAGACTCACTGGACAGTACCGACCTCGGATGGTCCTGACAGCCCTGCACCTAAGTCATAGTCTTACTCCAGCTTGTTAAAAAATTCTACCTAAAATGCAGTTGCACTTTTAAATAACAAATAAATACATCGGCCGGAGAGCTGGGCCCGCCGGGGACGCCGTCACTTCTCCGCGAACGCCGCCGCCGCCATCGGGGCCCTGATGCTCCCTCTCGCCGACGCCGCCAGCTCTTCGATCTCGGCGTTGAGTCTATGGATCACCCACTCCATCGCTTCTCGGCCCTAAAACCCAACGCGCTGAGGTCAGCCAGAGGGCAGAGGCTCGTGCGGGCCCACGCAGCAGGAAGCGACGGGCTGCCACAGGCAGCTCACCAGCCCACTCCGTCCTAACATTTACCAAAAGCAGAGGCCTGGGCTGGCCTGACCGTGAGCGGGTTTCTACTCCGTATGCGAAGTTCCCAAAGCAACCCACCGCGAGTGATGCGATGCCTGTCTCAGGACTGGGGCAGCCCCTCTGGCAGGCAGGTCCAGCCCACTCCGTCTGCATTTTAAGCAAAGCCCTCCCGGCCCGCGGCCCTGTCCCCCCTCCGCCCTCCTCGCGGTGCCGTGCGGCTCCCTGAGGACAGGACAGGACAGGGCTCTCGGATTCAGGTCCCAGGGCCCTGGCACGTGCTCCCCTGCGCCCCTTCATCACCAGGCCGCCCCCACCGGGCCTCGGCACTCCCCGGGCAGTCTCCCACCTTCGGGCACGCTGCCCGGTGACGGGGCGGGTGGTCACTGTGGCCTCCCGCTCAGTTCCACGAGGGCAGAGACATCTGTTTGTGCCTGCCTCTGACTGCTGAGTGACAGTGAAAGGTGTCCTAAAATAACACCTTAGGCATCTTTCTCTAAGCTTACCTTGGATTTTTATCTATTTTTTTAAAGGTTTATTTTTTACTTATTTGAAAGGTAGAGCTACAGAGAGCAGAGGAGGGAGAGAGAATATTTTCCATCCACTGGTTCACTCCCCACATGGCTGCAATGGCTGGGGCTGGGACAGGCCGAAGCCAGGAGCCAGGACCACCTTCTGGGTCTCCCACATGGGTGCAGGGGTCGAAGCACTTGGGCCATTCTCCACTGCTTTCCCAGGCACATTAGCAGGGAGCTGGACTGGAAGTGGAGCAGCCGTCCTGAACCGGCACCCGTATGGGGTGCCACATTGCAGGGAGGACTAACCTGCTGTGCCTCAGCGCTGGCCCCGTTATTTTTACTGTTAATTTTTAGTTTTTAACAGATTCATCACGTTCCACAGATACACTTCCAAGAGAACGACGACACTGCCTTCCTCGCTCCTCACCTGTTTTAAATCATGTTTTCTCAGTAGCAGAGACACTCCACGGGGCAAAACTGGTTCGTGGGGAGAATGGAGACAAGCTCTCTCACACATAAAGCTCACATGCATGTGCGTGGTGCTAATCTCAGGGCAGAAAATGTTTACAAAGGCCCGAAGGGAAGCAGCCGTGAAAAATGGCTGAGGGAGCACGTCCAGCCATGGCGCCCAGCTGTACGGGGGCGCTTCCTGTGTGCTGGCTCTGGGCCAGACGCCTTCTATGTTATCTTGTTTACTGCAAGCCAGCCTGGGAGATGGGCAATCTCCACTTCAAAGACGGGAAACTTGGGCACAGAAAGGCTAACTCAACTGCTCAAGGTTGAAAGGCCGGTCAGAGTTGGGGCATGGTGTGCTGGACACCAGAGCCTGCCAAGTCCTCGAAACTGCCCGACGCTCCGTGGCTTCTCACTGCAGAGGGCAGTCAGGCCTGAGCCCCCGGGAGTGAACCCCCACTTCTTTGTTGGCACTGGAGGGCACCGTGCCCCACTGACTTTGTTAGCCCTGGAGGGCACTGTACCCCACTGACTTTGTTGGCACTGGAGGGCACCGTACCCCACTGACTTTGTTGGCACTGGAGGACACCGTACCCCACTGACTTTATTGGCACTGGAGGACACTGTACCCCACTGACTTTGTTGGCACTGGAGGACACTGTACCCCACTGACTTTGTTGGCCCTGGAGGGCACCGTACCCCACTGACTTTATTGGCACTGGAGGACACTGTACCCCACTGACTTTGTTGGCACTGGAGGACACTGTACCCCACTGACTTTGTTGGCACTGGAGGACACTGTACCCCACTGACTTTGTTGGCCCTGGAGGGCACCGTACCCCACTGACTTTGTTGGCACTGGAGGACACTGTACCCCACTGACTTTGTTGGCACTGGAGGACACTGTACCCCACTGACTTTGTTGGCCCTGGAGGGCACCGTACCCCACTGACTTTGTTGGCACTGGAGGACACTGTACCCCACTGACTTTGTTGGCCCTGGAGGGCACCGTACCCCACTGACTTTGTTGGCACTGGAGGACACTGTACCCCACTGACTTTGTTGGCCCTGGAGGGCACCGTACCCCACTTACTTTATTGGCACTGGAGGGCACCGTACCCCACTGACTTTGTTGGCACTGGAGGACACTGTACCCCACTGACTTTGTTGGCACTGGAGGGCACCGTGCCCCACTGACTTTGTTGGCCCTGGAGGGCACCGTGCCCCACTGACTTTGTTGGCCCTGGAGGGCACCGTACCCCACTTACTTTATTGGCACTGGAGGGCACCGTACCCCACTGACTTTGTTGGCACTGGAGGACACTGTACCCCACTGACTTTGTTGGCACTGGAGGGCACCGTGCCCCACTGACTTTGTTGGCACTGGAGGGCACCGTACCCCACTGACTTTATTGGCACTGGAGGGCACTGCACCCCACTTTGTTAGCCCTGGAGGACACTGTACCCCACTGACTTTGTTGGCCCTGGAGGGCACCGTGCCCCACTTACTTTATTGGCACTGGAGGGCACTGCACCCCACTTTGTTAGCCCTGGAGGACACTGTACCCCACTGACTTTGTTGGCACTGGAGGGCACCGTGCCCCACTGACTTTGTTGGCCCTGGAGGGCACCGTACCCCACTGACTTTGTTGGCCCTGGAGGGCACCGTACCCCACTTACTTTATTGGCATTGGAGGATATCGTACTTGCCATCAGCCCTTCCAGGTAGCTGCTCAGGCTGACTCCTTTCACAGTGATTATGGCCTCTTGAGTTAAGACAGTTCTGGAACAAAAACACAGCCACACTGACTTAGCTGACCTTCCACTTTTTCCAAAAAATTAGATTAAAAACAAATTGAAAGTCTACATAAAATAAGCTTGTTAAAACACTGTTCACTCACTTTTCTGGGTCCTGAGGATGTGGCTTGTATATGAGTCTCTCATCTACTGAAACCATATTTGTAAATGAAATCTAAAGAATGAGGGGGAAAATTCAGATCATTTTAGAAATAAAAATTAAAATGATTTATCAAACTAATACAACCAAAATCTTACAAGCTACACATATAAAACAACAAAACCAACTATTTACCATTTTGATATTACTATATGAATAATTCCAATTTCAACTATTACTTTTTATTAAAAAGATACACTTTAATTAAAAATATTTTTTACAACTTAAAATATTTTTTGATGACACTTTTTTTAAATTATTTATTTGAAAGACTTACACAGAGAAGGAGAGGCAGAGAGGCAAAGAGAGGGGTCTTCCATCCGATGGTTCACTCCCCAGATGGCTGCAATGGCCGGAGCTGCACCGATCTGAAGCCAGGAGCCAGGAGCTTCTTCCAGGTCTCCCACGCGGGTGCAGGGGCCCAAGGACTCGGTCCGTGTCCTACTGCTTTCCCAGGCCACAGCAGAGAGCTGGATCGGAAGTGAGCAGCCAGGACTCAGCCCAGCACCATATGGGACATCGGCACTGCAGGCGCGGCTTTACTGGCTATGCCACAGCGCTGGCCCCCACTTACATTATAATTAAAGGCTCAACGACTCCACTAAATAAGGAGTTCCACAAACAGTCACAGTCCAATAGGAAAGTGGGCAAGGGCTATCAACAAATACATACAATCAAATGAAAAGATGTCCAATTTCACTCCCATTAAACACATACAGATGGGGGCCAGTGCTGTGACGTGGTAGGTTAAGCCTTTGTCTGCAGTGCTGGCATCCCATATGGGCACTGGTTGGGTTCTGCCTGCTCCACTTCCAATCCAGCTTCCTGCTAATGTGCCTGGGAAAGCAGTGGAAGATGGCCCAGGCGTGTGGGCCCCTGCATCCACATGGGAGACCCGGGAGAAGCTCCTGGCTTTGGATCAGCTCAGCCCCGGCCGTTGCAGCCAGCTGGGGAGTAACCAGCAGGTGGAAGACCTTTCTCTGTCTCCCTCTTTTGTATGCAAGTACAGTATGATCTCAAATTCGCTTTGCTGAGTGCCAGGCTTTGCACAGCAGAGGCTCATGAAACTGACGAGGAACGCGTGGCATGGTGTGGCGTGGCGTGTGCTTCTGGGCTCTCCAAAGAACAGGTTCATTGACACGTCAACCGTGGCAGGCAGAAAAAAATCAAGCCAAACACATCAAAGTGAAAACAAAGAAAGCCAAAACTTACATTGGTAGATTTGAGCTCCATGGTTCTCTCTACAGGGTCAACCACAGAATGTTCTTGCACATATGTTTTGGTTCTTGCTGCACCAATAATCTAGATAAAACATCCAGAATCAGTCATCAGGAGGGAAGATTTCCTACCCAGGGTGTCAATATCTTATTTGATTATGTGCTACAACATCCTGAACCAAAAATCTGTTTCTTAAAAAAGAGGAGGAAGCAGGCAGTCAGAGAGGAGCCTATCTGAGGGTAACAGAACTCACGTAACGCGGATACACTGAGAACTTTCCCAGGGCAATCAAGAAAGAGCAAGTACAAGGCACCAAGCTGAAACCGCTAAGGTGGGCAGCACGGCGTCCACACTGGGAGCCGTGGGCCGCTACGGTGGGCAGCACGGCGTCCACACTGGGAGCCGTGAGTCGCATGCTATCTAGAACGAGAAGAGCGCCAGAGTTATCCATGCTCACCTTCCTAGGGCAGCCCAGGTAGAGGGCAGCACGGCTCCGTTCTCCAGACAGAAGCACGGTGCACACTGGCACCGCAGGGCTGCCCCCGCCGCTGAACACGCTCTTCCCTTTTCCGAGTGCACCCCGCCTCTAGGGAGACCCGCACCCCGACTGCACCGCGCCTGCTCCTCCATACACTGGCGTTCCCCTCACAGGCCGCCAAAGCCTGAGCGCTGGTGCTGCACCAGGCTGTGGCAGCCGACCACGTCCTCGACCACCCTCCCTCCTGTGCACAGCCCACCGCTGACCGCAGCAGCAGTGACCAGGCAGGAGCAGCCTCCTCTAAGTCTCGTTACTGCCTGCACGTTGCAGGCCAAAGCAAGACAAGCAGAAGGCAGCTCCTCGCAGGCTTCGGGGTTAGCCGGCTTCCTTTAGAAGGGTTCGCCGGTGCCTGCATGAAGACTGTAATAATATTTCCAATTCATTATACACTCCTAACTCAAGTTTACTGTAACACAATTTGAACTGATGCAAAAATGACATTCCGAGGCAGCTCCCACATCTATTTGCAATTATAATGTGGTTTGGAAACTTCTCCGCGGCGGTGCCATTTCCGGGGGAACAGACACGTACAGACTTCACGACAGAGGGCAGGCCCCACTCGGTGCTCAGCAGCCTGTGGCTGTGCAGCCTTCCGGACGGGTCCACGTGTCTGTCCAGCACGTCCACTCCAACCACGCTCGGGTTCATCGGGTTCGGGTACTTCTGCATTGCAGCCGTTGTAACGGTTTCCCATGGGTGGCTACCAACACAAACCAAAACGCATCACTTAAAAACATGCATATGAATAAATAATTTTACAGTCCATCTAATTATCCGTTACAATGGAGGTTTAATTAGTTTACCCAGGGAAAACTGCTTTCTGAAACATTAACCAGGTATTCGGGGAGACTGACTGACGTCTGAGACGTGGAGCCAGGACACAGGCCTTGTAACACTGGCCATGTGAACTGTAGTCTAGAACAGTACGGGCCTTTGACCAATCCTGCCCACTTACCATTCTCCACTTTCACATGTTAACTTTGTTTCCAGGAAGAACCACTGATTTATGTTCTACTGAAACTAGTAGCAAAACTATCATTATGCCAGCTATTCTTGTCTGATCCCGATTCTATGAAGCTATAAAAAAACAAGGGTAAAAAGACCTGATAAACACTATAAACCCCTACAGGATCACAGAAACGGCCTAAAATGTCGTTGATTTAATTATTAAACTCTGCAGATCAGTGTCATAAATAACAGTGGCCTTTCTAGGCAATATCCATAGCTTTTTTTTTCTCCAAACAAGTGAATCCGATTTCTGTTTTGAAAAGGTCACTTGATACAATAAAACGCTCTTACAGCACTGCTAATGTGCTTCTCTCTAATAGTCCCTCTTGATACAACAAGCATTTACTCATCGCCTGGCACTGGTGCAGTGAGTGTCGCCCGGTGTGAGAACCTGCCGCAGCTTCGTTTTTTTAGTTTTCTTGAAAAAGGACACGCGCTCAAGGGATTCCAAATGTCATGCACTTGTTCACAGCTTCCGTGAGAAACAAGCTCGTACAGAAGATTGAACAGCCCTCACTGCTGTGGTCAGCGCTGACCGGGCCCCGTCCACAGCCGGGTTCTAACCTCTGCGGCGGCCTGTGTGCGCTCCGGACTTCGTTTACAGAGCAAGACAAGGCCCGGGCACGATGCTTCGTGCTTCAGTGACTGCTAAACCACACCACGTTACGCTTTATTTTTCTAAAAGCAAAACAGGTGGATCCCAGAGCTCAGGCTGACTACTACACATCTTGTTGACAGAGGAAAACTCACTCCCCTGATCTCATTGAACCTGGACTGGTGGCATAACTTCTTAACGTTTTAATTTCTCTGTCATGCTGTACAAATCAACTTCATTTCGTTTTTCATCTCAAGCCCGATTCAGCCATCCATGCAGGTGTGTGAGTGCAGCTGCTTCGTAAGTCTAAACAGCCCCCACGTGGACGTGACGGAGGCCAAGCCCCTGTTTCCAAGGCGGCTGTCTGAAGTGACATCGGATGAGCCCGTCCCCCTCTCCACCTGGCCACACACCATGGTCCCCACCCTCCAGGGAATCAGTCCCTGCGGCTGCAGGGTGGTCACGCATCACTCGTAACTCAGTCCACCTCTGCTCTCTGAGTCAACCTGGAACTAAGACTACGAAACGCAACCAGCTCCAGCACCAGAACGGGCACTGGAAGGGGCAGTCTTCTGGCTTCCACAGTCGCCGCGCCCAAGCTCTCGCTCTGGAGGAGGGCGCACAGTGTGGCCGCGTGACCTGGCCCACGCGCTCACCAGCGCTGTGAGAACACAGCAGCTCCACCAAGGCAGCAAGCGTGTCCTGGCTTACTAGGCTGTGGCCAACCCCAGGCACCGTGGCTGGCACACGTAGGGCGTGCCTACACTTCCAAGGAATCGGTAAATGACTTCAAGGGAGTGCCAACTACAGCCTACGCCTCAGGAGGAAGCAGCGGAAAATCAAGTGGGCAACAAGGACGACTCAGACGTTGCCACAGTAACACCTGAAGACGAGAAATGGGAGAAAAAGGGGAGATGACGGCTTTAATCTCCGGTATCTTCAAGTCTGCGGCGGGCGGGCAGCCATGCCAGGAACACCTGGAGCTCGAGGGACAGACAGGGCAGGGCCTTCAGCTTCAGCCCAACATCGGAGAGAGCACAGACCAGGGCTACCTGTCCCAGAGCCCGGGCGGCCTGGGCCTGGGTGTGTGTCTTCTAGGGAGGGGGCCCAGAGCCCGGGCGGTGTGGGCCCGAGTGTGTCTGTCCTCTAGGGAGGGGGCCCAGAGCCTGGGCGGTGTGGGCCTGGGTGTCTGTCCTCTAGGGGGAGGGCCCAGAGCCCGGGCGGTGTGGGCCTGAGTGTCTGTCCTCTAGGGGGAGGGCCCAGAGCCTGGGCGGTGTGGGCCTGGGTGTGTGTCTTCTAGGAGGGTCCAGAGCCCGGGCGGTGTGGACCTGAGTGTGTCTGTCCTCTAACGGGAGGCCCCAGAGCCCAGGTGGCGTTGGCCCGAGTGTGTCTGTCCTCTAGGGAGGGGGTCCAGAGCCCGGGCGGCGTGGGCCTGAGTGTGTCCTCTAAGGGGAGGCCCCAGAGCCCAGGTGGTGTTGACTGGAGTGTCTGTCCTCTAGGGAAGCCCAGAGCCCGGGCGGCGTGGGCCCGAGTGTGTCTGTCCTCTAGGAGGGCCCAGAGGCGGGCGGCGTGGGCCCGAGTGTGTCTGTCCTCTAGGGGGAGGCCCCAGAGCCCAGGTGGCGTTGGCCCGAGTGTGTCTGTCCTCTAGGAAGGCCCAGAGCCCGGGCAGCGTGGGCCTGAGTGTGTCTGTCCTCTAAGGGGAGGCCCCAGAGCCCAGGTGGTGTTGACCGGAGTGTGTCTGTCCTCTAGGGAGGGGGTGCAGAGCCCGGGCAGCGTGGGCCTGGGTGTGTCTGTCCTCTAGGAGGGCCCAGAGCCCGGGTGGCGTGGGCCCGAGTGTGTCCTCTAAGGGGAGGCCCCAGAGCCCAGGTGGTGTTGACCGGAGTGTGTCTGTCCTCTAGGGAGGGGGTGCAGAGCCCGGGCAGCGTGGGCCCGAGTTTGTCTGTCCTTTAGGAGGGCCCAGAGCCTGCACCCAACCTGGAAGGCGGCTGTGACAAAGAGAGACAGGAGATGTAAGCGCGCCGCGGACCCCGAGTCATGGCAGCGTTTCGAGGCCCTCAGCGCAGACAGGGCCTGGCCAGGCGTGCTGGTGCTGGCGACGCTCTTTGCCCCAGAACCATCACAACATCCGGGAGCGAAGAAGCCGCTGGCGCTGACACCTGCGTTCTCCACCGGGAGCGTCTCGGTGCGCCTGATCCACGGCCCCCAGAGTTTCAAGCCTCGAGAGGCCGAAGCCAAACACACCACAAAGCTGCAGGGCTGCAAACCGCGTGGCGGCCACGGCACCACCAGCAGCAGGGCCGACGGCTGGGGAGCCGGGGCACGAGGTCAGCTGGGGCAATGGCTCGCCAGGCGCACGCCCGGGAACAGGGTGTGGAACCCGCGGACGCAACCGGGGTAGGCACGGCCGCGAGCACGTGGCGGCCGGCAGGGCGGACCCGGGGCCCCACGCCCAGGCCGGTCCGGGCCGCGGCCCCACGCCCAGGCCGGCCCCACATCCGGCTCTCCCGCTCGGGGCCGGCGGGCCGCGGCCCGGCTGGGCTCTGCAGGGCGGCTGCGGCAGCCCCGAGGGCGGCCCGGCCTCGTGCTCCGCGACGGCCCCTGGACGCCGGAGGGCGGTGGGGCGGGGGCGGCCCGGAAGTGGCCCGGCTCGGTCGCCCGCCCACCGCGGGGGCCGGCCCAAGCCGAGGGAGCCCTGGGGTCGTGACCTTGAGCCCCCGCCCTCCCAGGGGAGCTGCTGGGGGCTGGGGCTCGGCTGTCCCCAGCCAGGCCCCAACGCCTGGAGACCTCCCGAGGGCCGCCTCGGCCTCGCCTCGCCCCCGAGCCCGCCCAGCCCGCCCGCCCCGCGCCGCAGACTTACTCAAAGACGTGTTCCGAGGTCCAGATCTTCATGGTGCCGGCGGCCCGCGCGATGTCCGGGCGGCGCTAGGGCACAAGGAGGCAAAGAGGCTACACCTGCCCCCGCCCCACCCCCGGCGCCCCGCCGGCCGCGCAGCGCGCAGGCGCCGTCGCGCGACGCCGGGGACGTCCCGACGCGCGGCCCCACGCCCTATCGCGGCCCGGGGTTTGCCCCGGCCTTGCGCGCGGCGCAGCGACGCCCCGCCCCTTAGCGCCGACGCAGCGCGCCGGCGCAGTCCTGGGGCGGCGCGCGGGGCGGCCGGCGCCGGCGCTGGCGCTGTGCTGCGCAGGCGCAGTGGGCGGCTCGCGGCGCCGACCTTTGCGCGCAGTTGGGCTGCGCCCAGGAGGCGGCCGCGGCCTGGCGGGGCCTGCGGTCGGTCGTAGGCGGCCCACTGACACGGATCAGCCTTGGAGCGCTCTGTGGGGCAGCTGTGGGGGGCGCCGCCCCAGAAACTGCCCTACAGCTCCCGTCAGCGCTGTGCGCTGGTTCCTCCTGCGATGAGGACCCCCCCCCCCACCCAGGAGGGGCGCCCGGCCGGGGTCGCCCCAGGCGGCGGGCCCGAGGGCATGGCCGGCAGGCATGGCCGGCAGGCATGGCCAGAGGCCTGAGAGAGGCCTTCCTGCTCCCTGGGGTCGTCGCGGGTTTCCTTTTTCCCGCTGAAGTCCTCGCAGGCAGCGGTGCGGCCCGTCCGGCTCAGCCGGGGTCCCCGGCACCTGCTGTCGCAAATGTCAGAGCTCACGCGTTGGGGGGTGAAAGACTCGTTCGTGTGGACGGACGGACGGACGGACGGACGGAGTCATCGGGCTTCCCTGCGGCGGTGAGCGCCGCAGGGCGAGGCCCGCGCTCTTGGGCAACGGGGCCCCTGCGCCGACGACCACTCCTAGTTGCGCAAAGGAGACGGTGACTAAGACGAGGGGCGCGGGGGTCGCCCGCGGGTCCGCGCGAGACCTCTGCTCACGCAGGACTTGGCCGCTCTGGGTGCGGGTGCGAGGGACGGAGCCTTGCATCTGGCTTCCTAGAATCTGGGCAGAGTTGCCGCCTCGTCTCCTGTTCTCAGCCTGTTCGGTGGTTTAAAAGGGAAACAACAAATACAAAGCCAGGTTAATTCAGGAGCGAGGATAGTTTTTCAAAATAGCCGAAGTCCTTTCTAGAAAAGAAAAGCAGGAACGCTAGACAGGAAGGAATGACAAGGTTGGTGGTTGCCAAGTGCAATTTGAGGTACCTGGGACTATTTTTTGAAAAGCCTGCAGCGCTTAGAGTAACTTCTCGAGGTGGTAGCGCGAGGCGGTGAGATGCGAGGGAGCCGCTGTGTGTTAGGAACGCTGGTGCAGGCCCCATCGCACAGAACGGCCTGCCCCGGCTGTTCCTGGAGCTCCCTGGGGCTGCGCACTACCCGGCGTTCCTCGTCTGTTTGTTTGAGAGAATGTTATTTGGCCCCGTAGTTCAAGATTTCTGGTTTTTGAAGTCAAGAAAATTGAGTGACACCTGCCCCCCTCCCGGCACACAAGGCTTTCTCCTCACTGCATCGGTAGTGGTGGGGAGTGGGGGCGTGGAGAGCAGAGCCCAGGGACCCCAGGTGTCTCCTCTGTGTCTCTCGGGGTAGCAGTTATACTCCTTCCTTGGATTCGGAGAGCAAGACTTAAGAGACACAGAGAGGCGACAATGAATGGCTTTTAGACACGGAGGCCTGGTGTCAGAGATGCCATTAGTGAGTCATTAGCTGGGTTGGACACGAGCTAGATGACTGGCTCCACGGCCTCTGCCCCAGGGGTGACACAGTCCCCACACACCCGCTGAGGTCTCTGCTTGGAATCCCACCCAGCCCTGAGCGGGGAGGGAAGAACACAGGCCTGACTCCTGCCTGCCAGGATCTCGGGACTGGCCGGGCAGCCAAAGTACAGGTCTGGCAATAGGTACAGAAGGCTGAAGGGAGGGCTGTGCTGCAGAGCCAAGAGGCGTGGGGCCGCGAGGGCAGCCTCTGGGGAGCGTGGTGGGTGGGCGTCTGTGGACTGCGGAGCCCAGGAGGAGTTGGCCGGAGGGCTGGGGTCAGGGACTGGGGTGTGGAGAGCAGAGGGCCACACCAGTGTTAGTGGGTCCCAGAGAACAAGCAGGTGGAGTCTCGCACTGTGACATTGGCTGGCCCTCAGTTCCCCTCCTGTGCACCCTGACCCGCACACCGTCTTCACCACGTGCACTGTGTGCGTCCCACCCATCCGGTCATCACTCGAGTCTTCAAACACCAGGGCGGTAGGCAGCCTTCCCTCCTCACCCGTGGGTCCACTTTTCACGGATCCAGGCACCCTCAGTCAACGGAGGCATGGATATGTGAGCGTGTTAAATGGGAAATCCCAGACGCAGACCGTTCCCGAGGTGTGCACCCTTCTGCCTTGCCCGAGTCTGCTCTGTGTGTGCCAGCTGCCCCGCAGTCCTGCCATGGGCACTGTAGGCCGTGTGGTTGTCAGAGCTCCCTCAGCCCTCGGTTTCAGGTATCCACACATGGCCCGCGGGTGGGGACGCACTGCCGTGATGGGTGGCTTGTTTTTGTGCCTGGTTCCTGTCACAGAGCTCCAAACACCCTTGGAACTTCCTGGACTCTTCGGAGGAGGATGATAACGCTTGTCTTGATGTGCCTTAGGCTAGGGATGCTGCTCAGTAGCCTGCAATGCACGGGACGGTGACGGCAAAGAAGAATCCGGCGCCAAACCTCAGTCCCGGAACAGCGCGGTGACCCTGGGGTCTGGCTTCCTATCTGCCTTCAATCTCGTCCTTCCATTCCTCAACTCAGCTGACCCTGTACCAACACCAGTGACGCGCTGTCCCTCAACGGGCCACTCATCCACACCCTTGACCTTTGCACGTGCTGTTCTCTGTGCCCAGAAGGCACGTTCCCCTCGCCTGCCCCAAGAGTCTTACTCATGTCTCAAGGTTCTGTGGAAATACCCACTCCCAGGGGCCCCACTGACGCGTCTCGCCCCTGGCTGGGCACAACGCCTGTCTCTGCTGCTCTGGGCCTGCTGGCATTTTTTATGGCCCGCGTTAGGAAACGTTCTGGCTCAAGGGCTATCTGTGTCCACAGCTGTGATGTGAAGTCCTGTGCGATTTCTGTGTTAGAGGGCCAGGGCGCCTCTTTAGCTTTTTATTTTCAAAAAAGATTTACTTATTTGTTTGAAAGTCCGAGTGACAGAGAGAGATAGAGAGAAAGAGATCTTCCATTTGCTGGGTCATTTCCCAAATGGCCGTCATTTCCCGAGCTGGGCCAGGCTGAAGCCAGGAGCCAGGAGCTCCATCCGGGTCTCCCAGGTGGATAGCAGGGTCCGAAGTACTCGGCTCACCGTCTGTTGTTTGCCCAGGTGCATTATTAGGGAGCTGGGTGGGAAGCCGAAGAACCAGGACTCAAACCAGCACTCCAGTATGGGGATGTTGAAGTCACAGCAGCGGCTTAACCCGCTGTGCCAGCAGCGCCAGCCCTCAGCTCTTCATTGTTGGACCCCTTGCTATAGTCACACAGGGAAGTAAGAATCATCAAACCCTGGAAACATTCACCCCGAACCGAATTCTTACAAACTCCGTGCCTGCTGAAAATGCCAACCAGCTCCTTATCTGTTGAGCTGAAGTCCTTGCTGGTTGTCCCCAAGTCTCTCTGGTTGTCCCCAGGGCTTCAGAGGTACCGCACAGGTTAGAAACCAGAACCTCCTGGGAGAGAGGCAGACTTTCATCAAGTTGATGGGACTGACGCTCACCAACGCCACCATCATCTCTCAGCCAGGCCCGAGTGGGACTGAGGTGGTCAACACGTGAGAAAACGTGACGGGCATGGCTGCCAAAGGAGAAGCGTGCCGGGATGCGGTGGTTTGAACAGGGCAGGTTGGGGGGTGGCCAGGGAGGCCCCTGAAGGTTTGTGTGACCATGGCCACCACCTCAGCTGGGCTTCACAATTCAAACACAGTGGGGAAAATGAAGGCAAAAACTAGCACTGGATTAATTCTCTGTAAGAATTTGCATAGTTACAAGTTTAATCCGAGTTGTGTGTATCATAGATACATGTCATCATATATGTGCACGTGTCACTACGTGTATGTCTATGTAGGTGTGTATACAGATTTACTCTTATAGTCTGAGCTCTACTTTTACTTCTCGCTATTTACAGCCAGCGTTGGGGGTGGTGTTACGTGGAGTCACGTTCAGTGGACTTCCTGGGTGTGGATTATTCACCCCAAATGTGAACTCCAACAACTAGGAGACTCAGAAAAAAGACAGGAAGCCATTCGGGTGTCCTACAGCAAGGGCAGGGTGGCAGCAGGGACGGGGGAGTTGGACCCTACACACACCCCTTGGGCATGCTCTTGCCTCCCAACCTGTGACGCAGCTGGCCGTGGGAGAGCCAGAGAGAGGTGGCTAGCTCAGTGCCAGCTGCAGCTTCTGCACCCCTCGGGTCCCCCTACCTGAGGGTTTAATGGCCCAAGAAGGGCAACCAGAAAGCTGGAGGGCTCAGAGGCGGCTGCGCCCCCTGGGCCGTGGAGCTCACCCACTTGTTCCTCCCCATTTTACGAATCTCACATTACTTCCAATTTAACAAGAATTCAGAGTCGAATTCAATTTTGTTCCCATTAGTGACTGAAGATTTCAGGAAATGGTCCAGAATTTCCTATCGCTAAGATTTCCCCCTCTGTTTTCTGTTTACCTAAATATCTAACCAAGTTATTCCTACATTGCTGTCATAAGAAATGAATCTCTTCTCCTGGGAGGGCTTTGATTCTTCCCGTCATTCCTCAGCCTGAGAAATTAAGGGCAATTTCTTAAAGCTAAATCAATTTGTCTTATTAGCAGTCTTCCCATAACCAGGTAGTCCAAATCAAAATTAGCTTTACTCTCTATGCTAAGAGCTTTTGCATGAAGTCTCTTTCGCTCTCTCTCTCTTCCTCTCTCTCTCTCTTCCTCTCTCTCTCTCTCTCTCTCTCTCTCTCTTCCTCTCTCTCTCTCTCTCTCACACACACACACACGGTATAAAACTTGGCTGGTGTTTGGCACAATGGGTTAAGCCACCACTGCTTTCAATGCTGGCATCTCACATCAAGGTGCTGGTTCTTGTGCCGGCTACTCTGCTTTCCATCTGGCTTCTTGGGAGGGT